AACTCAGTGACCTGGAATCAAAAACTATTAATACCTACATGAGAAAATGAACTTTACACAAAAAATGTTTGACAGGTAATTTTTTGCAGTGAATTGATCTGTAGCTATTAGAATGTGAGGCTTTTTCTCTAAGTGTGCTATATTATGCTTTCCATACTTTGGGGAGTAGATTTGATCCTGCCAGACGGGAGGCAAGTGATTGTCAATTCTTTTTAGATACCTACTTGGAGTAAATGCGAATAGCCTAGAATGTGAAACCATTTTGCTAAGTGTGCTATATGAATTTTTTGTATTTTGGGGGTAGATTTCGCCTTGCCACATAGGCGGTGAGTGAATTGTTAACTGTTTTAAAATGCTAGAGCCAAATTCAAATGGCTTTGTTAATGTAAATGCAATTTTTAAGTATTTCATCTTGTTCTTGTCCCTAAGGGGAGGATCTAAAATGAATTTCAGCTTATCTTATGGAAAATTGCTGCTATGCAAAAGCAAGTATTGGTGATCTTATATGCAAATTGGTCCATTGTAGTGACTTTCTTATACAGTTTTGAGAACTGCCATTTATTTATCAACACAATTTGTATTATTTTGATTTGATTTCTTTCAGGACAGATGTGTCACAAGGATCTTTTTTCTAGATACGTTATGGTTTATATATAATTTTAGGAGGGACTTAGGAGGGAATTAGGAACTTTTTTTCCCTATTTCCGTTTCCAGTGTGACGAAAATATAAATTATAACGGTTAGTAGAGTTCGCGCTGCGTTCCCTCAAACCCGCCGCCGCCGCCGAGTCGGAACTTGAACCTTAAAAGAAATCAAAGGTAACTCTCGTCGTTGATGTCATATTGTCATAATTATGTTTACGGGCCTCTTAAATAACGGGGCTAATCGTAGATGAAACAACAATTGTCGATGGAAGAGTGTCGTACAACAAATATCAGCCGAAACTTAAAAAAAGGGAACATTTCAATTATGCGAAATACAAATGGTGTCACTTACGATAATAACGGAAAAAACCCAAATTATAGCCTCCCTAGGGGGATATATCGGGTGAATATTCCAAAACCGAGCATATGCAATTAACATAGAAAAAAGGTTTTTTGCAGATTGTTGCTCCCCATGTTAACTTAGAGGGTTTATAATAACATCAACCGAAAGAATATTTTTTTTCCATAATATACGAATTAGTTAATTTCCAGTTGTATTTCACATTATCTTATCAAAAATTCGGCAATAAATCCAATTAGCAAAATCATGTTAAGCCATGTCTCAATTGCTAATTTTTTAAAGAATTGAAAAACCTTTCGACACAGTCCGAATGGGGCGCCACTTAAACTACAGGAAAAAACAAATCTCGCGTACTATGCCAATTATTCCCGCTGTAGACGTTTTTTTTTATTGTAAATACTTTTTCTTCGGTGAAATACATTTTACAAAAAAAATTAATGACGTTTGAATCTGTTTTTTGTCTTATTATAGTCATGCCTTAACATGATTTTGCTACTTGGACTTATTAATTTTTGATATAATGAGAAAAACACCTGAAAATGAACTAATTCGTATATAATGAGATGAAAAAAATCGTCTTTTAATTGGTGTCATTATAATAAATCCTCTAAGTTAACATTGGGAGCAACGATCTGCAGACTCCTGTTTCCCATGTTAATTCCCAATGTACGGTTTTGGAATATTCACCCGGTATAGATGAATCCATCCTAATTACTGCGGAATCTCCAATTTAAGGAATCCGATTGCGAGATATTACTAAAAGGATGATGGCAATTAAAATTCCATGCATTTTTATTTATGCCTCAGTTGTTGGTTTAAAATGAAGTAACCTGATACGGTTCTCGACAGAAAGAGAGTAAAAATCGACACGTACTGCGCGGCAAAATGGCGCGGTTACAATTTCAACAATAGGTGGAGCCATCTATTCAAAAGTTACGAGGATCTTTCAACAAGTAAATATTGGATGCTTCGTAATGGAGACAATAAACCGTTACAAACTGTTCGTATTGTACTGCCCTTTCCGGGGTTATCCTCCGGGATATTCGCCCCCAAAAAATTCGCCTCCGGAAGGATCGCGCCCAGAATGTTTGCCATTGGAAGGATCGCGGCCAAAATTTTCGCCCCCAGGATAAGCGCCCCTGGAATTTCGCCCCCGGAAAATTCGTCCACCGAAAACTCGTCCCTGAAATTTCACACTCACAACATTTGCTCCGAAACATACATCCCTCTATTTAGGGGAATGGAATGGATATGATAGTGTAATTTGTAATAGGTGGTTGCTTTTATGCTTAGGATGATGTGGTTTTGAATTTACAAATTTGCTGGTGTGGGAAATTGTATACGGGTACCGCTTCATAGTGAAAAAGAACAAAACTAAAATTCAATGGAATGAAGCGCTTTCAGATAAGAAGCGAGTGTGCAAGCAGGTAAGACTAAAAACACCACAGTGCTGCCGGTACTGAAGAGCATTCTTACGGAGAATGAGGGACAAATTTCCCTTACATGTATCAAAAAGGTAATCGAAGCTTGGTTTTTGTTGGGTCCGGTTTTTTGATTCGACGACTATATTAAGAAAAATTTGGTGGGAGAGAGAGAGAGAGATTCGCTGAATTTTCAAACCAAACCTGTGTAAGCCAAGCGAGGCATTTTAAATCCTGAAACATTTATTTTCAAGACGAATTCGTATAATCGAAGTGTACGGAAGATTTACACAGCAGCGTAATTGTACGGGGGATATCTATTGCGAAAGATGAAATATAAATTGCCGCATTCTAAAAGAAAACTGTGCTCCCATTTTGACGAAATTATTATCGTATGTGCTTATACTAATATAAAGTGGCGTATTTTTGCAAAAGGGCAACTTCGCTGTGTAGAGGAATCTGCAGGTTGGTCGATTTATTTTCAACCGTGGCCTTCAACGAGTACTCAAATTTACAAAGCGATATAAAAAGAAGAATGCAAATAAAAGTGGAGTTATGGAATACTGGAAATAAAGAATCGACTTTGCCCAAGGTAAGAGTAATTAAAAGTGTGTGTTTATTACTGAATTAGCCGTGGATTAAGTTATATCATCACAAAATTGTTACATAGAGTTGGCTCTGTGTTTCCTCAAACCCGCCGCATAAACGGCCAACTAGCTCAAGGTTAAACACAAAATAAGAACCCGAAAATCTTCCACAGGGGTAGTAACTCTCCTCGTATGAAATTGAGAAGATACATGAGTATTATAAAGAGTACAAATCAATTCAAGTACCAAAATAAATCGTGGTTTATTCACACCAACTGTCAAATAAAAAATAAGCTCCACAAATATTCAAAATTGTAAGTTACGTTACACGCAAAACTTAGTAGTTAACTTTATAATTGAATTCCAGATAGTGATATTTCGAGCAACAATTCGCACGTATAGGGCAAGTACAAAGTAAAACATAAAAATGCAACTCTTACCTTAATTTAAATGAGATGTCAATGCCAAGAAGTGAGTTCAGTTCTCGGATCCATAAACCTGCAAATAATTAAAAAAATCGTCGACAGAATGGTAGGTACTTAAACCACCTCCGAAATTAAGCTGGTCCGTTAAACTGATAATTACAATTCAACTAAGATTTGACTCCTACAATTAAAATCCTAAAAAACCCTCTTCGTTGATGCAACAATGCAACAATCATCAATGGAAATTACAATATGTCAAATATCAGCCGAAACCTAAAGAAAAATGCACTTCAAGTAGATACATAAAATGCAAATGACGTACTTACGAAGAAGCAAAAAAAAATCAGATTATATCCTCTCTAATAGAGTTAAAGGTGAATTCGGGCGACTAACTACTGCGGAATTCCCTAATTAAGAATTCAATCGCCAAAGATTAATAAAATAGGGATGGCGGCAATTAAAATTCCATGCGTTTTTACTAACGCCTCAGCTGTTTTTTCAAACGAAATGCACTCTGTTACATCTTACAAACGAAAAGGTACGAGGATCCTTCAACAAAATATAGCGCGAACACTAATAATGCTTGTAATGAAGAAAATAAATAGTTAACCAGTGCCGTAGAGAATCAAATTCCTTTTGTGCAAGAGTGGCTCTCAATCCCTGTAAATGTACAAATTACAACATCCAAAATACTATTCTCTATCTGAAAATGTACCCGTAAGATAGAGAAACATTGGTTTTTCTCGATCATTTTAGAATATTCCAGATCAAATTTTAGTATCGTCTTAGTTTGCAATCAATCGAGGGTTTGCTAATAATATTTGATATTCAGAGCTAAATTATTAATTCCTGTTACTAAGAAGTAATATGGATTAGTGCCGTAGATTCTTATAATTATTTGTGTTTTTGTGTTATGTATTTTTTCCTACAGAAAAATTCATTACAATTTAATCACAACACAAAATTCAATGGCAAATAGAAATTTGTAGCTCGTTTCTCCAGAATACGCACGCCCACCTTCTTTCTGCGCCCACTGGTGCCATTTAGCTCATCATCCACCTACCCCTCTAACGATTAGCTGGTATAAAAAATTATTCTGCGATTTCGAAACGTTCGCGTAAAGAATTTCAAGAAGCACCTACACGAAATTTTAATTAAATTAAATTTGGGTGTCTAAACTTGTGCAGGTTCCACCTTCATGTTTAATTATGTAGGAATAAATTCGTGGATAGGATTAGGGTACTTAAAAGCTAATCGGACGTCTAAAGCTTTATTGCCTATTTATACAAAGTGGCGCGTTAATCTGACGCGGGAGCATTTTTTCCAATTATGGAAGACAATGAAATTTGATTGCATTGATTCAGTATTAATTAGTCGAGAAGAGTCAAGGGATGGTTAGGCGTGGGGCGACGAATTGAAATCACGGATGATGGAATAACTTAACTGCAAGGAGGTGGATGTCGTTTCCCAAAATAGCAGGGAAACATCAAAAGTTCGCCACAGAGGGAGCTTTTGTGGAGCGTCGAGACGCCGTAGTTTGGGTTTCGGTGCCAGTTTGCAATATGACCGACGACTATCCGTACGCGTCGCGAGTTAAGGGGCGCTCGGCGTCGATATGTGCAACCGGTTCTTCGAGCATGGAGGCGATTCATGCCGCGATTCCGCCAAGCGGAACACCGGATACCGGTACACCTGTGGGACGTCGACGTCGTCCCGCGACGCGCTCGCAAAGCGCCCGTATATCCGGTGGGAAGTCGGTTAGGCGTCGTGTTGCGGTTGCTTCGTTTGGGAATAACGCAGAAATTAAAAGCCATTGTAATAGTGAGCCAAAATTAGCCGATCAACCCGGAGTTACCCCGGACATGTCACCTAATATTAGGCGTAAGGGGTCAGCGCGCCGTGGTGCTTCCGTTTACCATCGAAAATCAACAGCGTTCTTGGATGTGCCCGATACACGTGGTGTCGGTTGTGTCAGTCCAGGACAGGAAGAAGAAGATGAAGACTCGTACCGCTTGCGCTCCTTCAGTTTTACATCAAAAGGTAATTACGATAATCGATACCTTCAATTTTGAAGTGCTTAAAGAGACAATTTTTCACTGCCACCGTGCACAGCTTATACGTGACCTATTGTCTTCCCATTTAAGTCAAAATCGCCCCGAAACAATTTTTCAATCCCTATACACTTTCATGAAATGTAGGGAAACTGCTATATTCTCGGAGTTGACAATACTTAATTATAGAGTTTTTACACGTATTTTTTGTACGAAAACAATTTCTGTAGTTTCCAGAAGTAGACTTGACACAATGCCAAACACGTTTTTTTTAACGGAATCGCTCGAAGTCGCTCATCTTCCTTTATTCGCTTCCTGCACCAGTAGACTTCTTGGAAACAAGCGGCAATGAAGCCATCCTTAAATTTAGAGAATGAATGTATCAGGGGCACTATCTATTCGCGGCAACCTTGCGTTAAAGTCTCTAGGCCCTGATTTCAAATATACAAATTCATAATGTTAACAGGAACATAAATCTGCATTTGAAAAGTTGGCGCAAAGTTGTTCCTAGTCCAACACAACAACATTAGGATCATATTCCTCATCTATTATGATACGTCATAGTATGTACATACAATGAAAGGAAGGTAAAAATAAAATTACCTAAACCCTCATTGTGCAGGTCTATTTATCTTTACTAACAAGGGCTCTGAGGTATGAACAAAATTTATTAACTATAAAACATGTGTTTTTGTGTTCAATGGCGGCGTGACAACATTTTTTAGTGTATTGAATATTTGACTATATTTACATACATCATAGTCGCGTTGTCTCGTTTATTACTTATTATCGATTTATTAGCACAAAAAACAGAAAACGGTAGTGGAGTTGTCTTGACATACTCGTAGTCTAGTGTCGGAAACTGAACTAGTTTGCCCTGAGGCAAATTTCTTGTTTCTCCAGATTTTTTGTCATCCATTTTTCTTATTCTGCCGGCTTTTCTTTCATTGTTTGAATCTTCAGAATTTTGCTATTTTTTGAATTCTTCAGATGATACCGATTCGTTCGAATCATACCATCTTCATTTGCAAATTGGATCTTTCAATTGCTGGTAATTCAGATTTTGAAATTTTTTCGATTCGTTAGAATCTTCCATTTACCGGTGTCAAGTTAGCCCCCCACTTTTGAAATTTTCAGAATATTTTTATTGCAGTAGTTTGTTAGTGTTTGTTAGTTTCCTTTCAAAAATTCAAATTCAAATATATAATAATATATAATAATAATAATAATAATAAAGACTTACGGTTCAATATGGTACATGTTTTTACCCTCACTCACATTTCTTTAGGTCATTTGGTGTGCATTAGTCTACCTATCCTTAAGTATTTATGTCAATCATCTAACAGAACTCCCAAAGTTCTTGCTATTTATTTATTACCTATCCCTCTTGTTCTGGGCCCTAAACAGGCTTGTGCCCAATTAGAGTGACCCGCATAATACTTTTTAGAGGTGCCCCGCAGAAGGACTTAAGTTATTTTATACCTACTACATTTTTTTAAATAGAACCCCCTGTATTTGAATGAACTTTTGAAATCTACGCGTAATTGTACGTTTTTTTATTATGGTTAATATCCGAAAAACTAGAAGTTTTAAAGATAATTCGATTTGTAAGAAAAATTGGGCATTTGCAAGATTCAGTATATTGTCAAAATTATTACTTGAATTTTTATTCCGAGTTTTATATCTTTTATCCTGGATTAAGTAAAAGTCAAATAAATACATCTCCTATGAAACAAAAATAGCTTACAGGGTGTTTTTTTGTAGATCCAAAGTTACAAAACTTCATATTAAAAATCTCACTTTTTTTAAACGGAACACCCTGTATATTTTTCTGTCATCTTTTAGCTCTTCCAAAAACCTTCAACTTTTGATAATAATGTCCTATACCTATCTCTGGTATTTTTCAAAATATCTTGATTTTCCTGGTTTTTATATTCTAATCTTAAATAAGTTATATGTAATTTAAATAATAACGAGGTGGCCATGCAAAAAAGGCCTCGTCCAAAGCTAAAATCATATTTATTAATTCATTTTTCGCAATAATTCATTTAAGTCTAACTGGAGAATAAATTTAATAGTAAAAACGTAAACAAATATCGTGGTTTACCTAGTTTTTATACCGGGTGATTTATTAGAAGTAAGGACAATTTGAATTTTCCGCAAATCAAATAAATTATGAAGTTGGTACTAACTGATGGTCTTTTATTTAATTGCAGTGGTGTATCATCATGCTTTCAGTAAGTCGTTTACTTATCTATAATCTACAAATACTGCTTCTGTTTTACCACAAATTATAAACTAACACTAGACACAGTCACGTTTCTTACATATATTTTAGTGCATCAACTCTAAAAATTGTTCAAATTGGAAAAAGTAATAAACCGCAAATGGCAAACAACAATTAACGGCGACACTGGTTTCTTAAATGAGAGTCATGACAGAAAAAAATTACTAACGAAATTCAAACCGCCAATCTAATAATGCAAAAAATACTAAAACCTTACGCGCGAAATTCAAGCGATCATCACTTCTAATGAATCACCAGGTATTTTAATCTGAAATAAAATTTACATAACAGCGAGGTGAATATGAAAAAAAAATATATAACATCACTGACTGGATGACATTAGGAGTTAAATTAAATTTGCTTTGTAGTCAAATGTTTTTACTTATTCTCCAGTTTTTGGACTTAAAATAAATTGTTTAAAAAATAAATTAATCGATATGATTTTCGTTTTGGACGAGATAGATAAAAATTGCCTTTTTTGAATGGTCACCTCGCTATCATGTAAATTAGATATAACGTATTTAAGATTACAATATAAAACATTGTAATGGTTCCAGCGCCAAATGGGGTAAACGGAATTAAGTGAAAATCCAAGATCTCCCCATAAATATAATGAAGTAAAATTTGCAGAAGTTGTTAACAGGACATGTTTCGGAACGAACCTCGTTCCATTTTCAAGTGTTAAATGAAAGAGGATATAACAATCAATACATCCTAGGGGGAATAAAATTAAAAAAAAAGAACAATTTACATATCTGAAGGACAAAATTAGCGAAAATTGCATAGCGGGGTTTTTAACTGGGCGACCGCATTAAACGTCCGATGACTTAGATATAAGTAACAAAAAGCAACGCCGACATTTTAACAAAAAAAATTGTATTCCCCTAGGATGTATTGATTGTTATATCCTCTCTCATTTAACACTTGAAAATGGAACGAGGTTCGTTCCGAAACCTGCCGTGTTAACAAATTCTGCAAATTTTACTTCAATATATTTTATGGGGAGATCTTGGATTTTCACTTAATTAGAATATAAAAACCACGAAAACCAAGATATTTTGAAAAATACCAGATATAGGTATAGGACATTATTATTAAAAGTTGAAGGTTTTTGGAAGAGCAAAAAGATGACAGAAAAATATACATGGTTTTTCATTTAAAAAGTGAGATTTTTAATGTGAAGAGTTGCAACTTTGGACCTACCAAAAAAACACCTTGTAAGCTATTTTTTTTAATGTTTCATAGTAGATCCCATCGTCGAAAACTGTACAAAGGACACTTCGTCGACAAATTTAATTGCAAAGTCGATCTTTAATGGGATAGTAAAGAAGTATTAACTATCAAATTAGGGTACTAATGTTCCGATAAATTTAAAAATTCGTAAACCTATCTACAACGGAATTTTGTGTTTCTAGATTTTTTAAATTTCAAATAAAAAGGTTGGATTTGGTTTGAAAGTTAAAACGTTAACGTTACATCGACATGGATACCAAATTTTAAAATTTTTGAATAATTAAATAACGCTCAAACAACAAACGTGAAACTGTAACTAACAAACACCAGGAAACGACCAACAAATGATTGCAATATAAAATTCAAAAAGTGGGGGCTGACTATAGGTACGTCCAAATTTTGAAATTTGAATAACAACCAATAAACGTGAAAATGTAACTAACAAACACCAACACACAACCAACAAACGATCGCAATGAAAATGTTCTGAAAATTCCAAAAGTGGGGGGTTAACTTGACACCGGTCTTCCATTTCTGGGAATTTTCCCGATTTATTAGCTTCGTCGAAATATTCAGATTCATCCTTGAGATAGTTTAGTTTCTTTAGACTATTTAAACACTTTCTTGGGCGCTTCGGAATCATCAGATTGTTTGAACTTTGTGATCATATGGGTTCTTTCTATCCTTTTCAAGTTTCAGATTTTTCAATTGAAAACGTGGCTCACCATTGAGTGTAGGTTAAATGGGGGCAAACTTTTTTTTAAAACTAAAAAACGCTTTGGAAATTATTGATGAATCTTTGAAAATAACTGAGATATCAGAGAAAAACTGTCAAATTTTGTTTTCATTTTCCGTAGCGATCGGAACTGGACTGTTCCCGTTAGCAACTTTCGTTGGAAATATGGTGACGTGGTTGCGACACGGCAAGCAAGGGGAGTGGTAGCAGGTTGTAGGGGAGCGCGTGGAAAAGCTACAACAGTAACGACCGGATCGCTTTACGTGCTTGTTTGCCTTTCGATAGTTTTGTGACTATTTCTTTTATCTTGGTATTAAACTTATATTTTGTGATTTCAATTAATTATTTTAAACTAAAGAGTGATAAGACTAAATCAAAAGTGGTTGATTCAAACGCGTGGCACGTATATAAGAGACGGCCGGTTAGTCGTAATTACAGTACGTAAGTCGCGATTCTTGAACTATAGTGACTTGTAGGGTACAAACCATGCCTAAACACAGAAAACACAACCGTATTTCGACCAGCGATACATGTAGTAACAGCAGTACGAGTCACGGTAGCTAATATTACTAATCTGAAGGATAAAATGTAATGACACTGGCAGAACTGAATTCTTGGAGTAACCAAAGGTAAGCGTCCACAAAATCGGGTGTTGGTAAGAATATTATCCTCGCGACACAAGTAGAGATATATGGAGCAATTTACATGAACGATAATCTCCAAGGGTAGATAC